TATATATATATATACACATTGTAGTAATGACGCCGTACCTCTAAGTTGCTCTGTAGTCCTCTTGCCATACTCCCCAGGTTGCCAAGAGTAGAGAGAAATGGTCTACGTATAGAGAAACAAGCATTTTTTTGGTTTGAGCATCGAGGGTTTTTTGTTCTCCTGGCGAAAACCCTAATTATGCTCCCTCCCGCCTGTTTTACCTTCCCTTCTCCGCAGGGAGGGCTCTTCCTCTTACCTAAATGATCCACCTCCCCCGGGTTCGGTGGCCCCTTCTATCTCTGTTCCTTCCGGTCTCAACTTCATTTCAAATCTCACCAACCATGATCTTGTCGCTAGCAACTTCGAGGTTTCTTATATTAACCCACCGTCTAGGGTTCCGTTCTCTGCTAAAGATCTTAAACTTGGAGTGCCATATTTGGGCCTCTCGCTGGTTGGATATTCGGTTGGTCCCAGACCTACCTACTTGAGCCTGCATAACGCGATTAAAAAGGTTTGGTCCATCAAAGGTTCTATCGAACTTCTTTCTCTAAACGATGAATTTTTTTGTTTAAAATTTCTTTGGCGGAAGACTTCGAGGTTGCTTGGTCTGGAGGACCGTGGTTTCTTTCTGGAAGACCGTTCATTCTCTAGAAATGGACACCCAAGTTTATACCAAAAGAATATTGCAAAATCATTGACAGAATGTGCTCTAAATTTCTTTATCGTGGCTCTTTAGAGGGGGGAAAATTACATCTCATTGCTTGGGATGATGCCTGTCTTCCAACCATATTTGGAGGGCTGGGGATGCCTGACCCTCTCTCACGGCTTTGCCTGTTCCTTCATCTGGAGGTTTTTTAACTCCAGCTCTCTGATCTTTGATTGGTTCAAATTAAAGTATAGCTCTCTCTGGAAACTGTTACCTACTAAATCCTCCAAATTCTGGAAGAGTATTTGCAGGGTTGCAGTTAAGATAAAAGGGTATATTAACTTTAATGTGAATGTTGAGAATTGTAACAAATAAATTTTTTTGGGGACCTTTGGATTAGAGGAAAATCTTTAGTTGAATGCTTACCTCCCTCCCCATTTCTTCACGGGGCCATTTCGGACTTCTGGAATTACAATTGGTGTTTGTCGGATTTTATTCCCGCTGGGATTAGGCAACTTAAACTAGCCTCCTTTTTCGGATAACACTGCTGCTATTATTAACTAGATTGATATTGCCAATCCTTGTTTCAAAGATTTTAGATTGAATTATTTTGCTGGGAGGAATGTTGTGAGTTGGTACAAGTTGATTTGACGCAAACATGCAACCCTCAGATTTTCTTCATACACTTGGCTTTTGATTAGGGGTGGCTTAAAGCTAGCTGACATTTTAGCTAAGAGGAACATTTTTATAGATGCTATTTGCCCGCTTTTCCACCTGGATTTGGAGAGCAGCTCTCATCTGTTTTTTCAATGCAACTACTCTTTTGCTGTTATCTCCCACCTTCTTCCTATTTAGACCTATTATCCTGCATTTGTTTTAATTTTATTGATGATTTGGGCATCTATAACAAAGTGGAGAAGAATTTCTATTTTTCTGTAATTTGTGGGGCTGTATACTTTCTATGGAGGGAGAGGAATAACAGGAGATTTTTGGGTTTTTCTACTTCTCGGTTTGTGTTATGCCAGAAATTAGTTAAAGTTTTGGCTTGGCGATGGGTTGTAAGGAAGAAAATACATATTTGTTCTACTATTCGTTTCCTTCCCGTTTCTCTTGATTTTTGGTGGCCTGGTTTTTGGTTTTTACTGGACGATGATGATCGGAACCGCTTGTGTGCCTTCTTCCCATGGATGGCCAATGGGATTTTGGATCGCTTGTGGTTTGTCACTTGGCCTGGCAGTTTTTTGTTGCACCCTGCTTATCAAACTACTGCTCTTCTTTTTGGCAACTGTGTATGTATTTTTCGACGAACCAGTTGGCTTTGGACATCTGACTAACATTGCTCTGAGGTTATTTATGTCCTTAGGCGGTTTCCGCATATTCTGAGTTATGTATTTTTTGGAAACCTTCTGTAAGGTTTTTGGTTTCTTTTTTGGGTTTATTGCTTTTATTCTTAGCCGATTTTTCAGGCTATTCTTTTTGTAAGTCTTTAATTTTTTATTT